AATGAATACTGAAGGAGAGGATTTTGTATGGTCCCAAGAAGTGATCCCCAAAAAGCTTGTACAAGAAGGGTTTAAATTTGTTCAAAAAGAATGGGGAGGAAAGGCCATTCTGGTCAAAGAGAACACTTGAGATCTTATCTCCAAAATGGGCACAACCCCTTTATGCTCCCAAAGCTCCAACAACAGTGCTTCTTCTAACAAGTCTACCATTCCTCCATTGCTGGATCGTGTGGCATAAGAAGGATTAGCTTCTCTCTCAGGACTGCCAGGTTCACAGTCTGAACCTCCAAGAGGAGGAGGCTTACCGTAGCTAAGGTGGCTTCTAGATCAACCTCCTTCACTACCTCAGGCCTTAAGCACAGAGCCTTCTTCCAACATTTGACTTCTAGGGGCAAAATGGTCAGATTGGTATGTTTTCTCGAGGCTTGGTGACAAGTTGGTATATTTTCTTTTAGTTTTGTCAGATTGGTATATTTTCTCAACTCCGGCGCCATATAGGCCTTAAATTTAGCCGGAGTTACTGTTCTGGCTAGTGCTGATGAGAGTTTTTGCATAAAATCCCCTCATCAAATACAGTTTCCTGCTCATAAGCCCCCTTTCCCTCCTCCCTCCTCCTCCTCCTCCTCATCCCTCTTCCCGATCCCCTCCATCTTCTCCTCCCCTTCCCTCCTTTCCTCCTCCTCCTCCTTCGGCCCTCTCCACCTCCGCCCATTCTCTGCCACCACCTCCCTCTCTCTCCTCCCCTCCCTCCAAATCTCTCCATCCTCGCCGTCGTCAACTCCTTCCTCGACTCCTCTGAGACTGGCATTATTGAAAGAGTGAAGAGTTGAATATCATTGTAAAGGTAGCTTAGAAAACATGACTGGCCCTGGTTATCTTCTTTTTTTTTCCTTTACACAATGCAAAGAAATGTCTGTTGGGATGGGAAAAGTTGAACTGATTCATGCAGTTTTTAATGGTTTTACTTTTCATTTTGCCAATCATAACCTGTGTATATTATGATTTGCATCTTAACTTGTTTGCAACATTGAGTTAAGTATTTTCTTATTTATTCAACAACTTTATCTTGCTGGGAATCAAATTACATCACTTTCTAGCCTTCCTCAATTTCCTAATCTGGAGGTATGTATGTAATTTGCTTACAACGTGTCTTCCACTCAATATGGCATCACATGTAATATCTTTATGGTCTGAAATGCTCCCTCTTCTTCTAGTTTTTATCTGTTGCTCAAAACAGGTTGAAGTCTCTTGCTATGGCAAGTCAACCTCGCCTGCAGGTTAGTTAAGAATATTATTAATTCTTCTTTCAATCCCTCAATTTTTCTTGAGGTTCCTTTGACCTCCACCTAGGTACTGGCTGCAAGTAAGAACAAGATATCAACTCTAAAGGGGTTCCCGCATTTACCAGTACTTGAGGTTAGTTTTGTAGCTGTCTATTTTTACTTCAATATGGGTGCTGGTTTTCTCTTCCTTTCTAGTCCTTAACTTGCCAAATACTTGTCATTTTCACATGTGTTATTGCTGATATTACCTTATGAACTATAAGACTGTTGAAACTGTTTTCAGCTTCATTGATTCTCAGTGGCCTCAAAATTTAAGGAGCATAGGACGTTGGCCGCGAGAGCGGAGCGAGAAGAGGAGGGGAGGAAGGAGGAGGAGGAGTCGAGGAAGGAGTTGACGGCGGCGAGGACGGAGGAGGAGGGGAGAGGCAGAGGGATTTGGAGGGAGGGGAGGAGAGAGAGGGGGGTGGCGGCAAAGAATGGGCGGAGGTGGAGAGGGCCGAAGGAGGAGGAGGAGGAGGAGGAGAGGAGGGAGGGGGAGGAGAAGATGGAGGGGATCGGGAAGAGGGATGAGGAGGAGGAGGAGGGAGGAGGGAGAGGGGGGTTAGGAGCAGGAAACTATATTTTATGAGGGGTTTTTATGTAAAAAATCCCATCAGCGCTGGCCGGAATAGTAACTCCGGCTAAATTTAAGGTCTATATGGCGCCGGAGTTGAGAAAATATACCAATCTGACAAAACTAAAAGAAAATATACCAACTTATCACCAAGCCTCGAGAAAATATATCAATCTGGCCATTTTGCCGACTTCTAGGAGAAAGATGACTTCTACCTCAAAAGGTACTTCTTAACCTAGCTCTGATTTGCCTTTACATGAATTAGACGCTAAGGAACTCGTGGAGATAGCTAATGCTTGTGGCATTTCTAAACCCCTATCCCCTTCTGACATTCAAAATCTTAGAGAATTAGAAGTAGATAGAGCCAAGCAATTTGCTTTGGCCTAGCATGCTGGGTAGTCAATGATCTGTTTGTATTATTGTCTTAATGAATTTCTGCACATGAAACGTGAGAGGTTTGAATGATGCTAGCAAGAGGAGAATAGTCAAGGAAGATATTGTCATATCTAAATCAGATATTGTAGGCTTGCAAGAAACCAAGTTATGCATTCCTTCTGATAGGAGACTTAAGGCTACTGGAGGTAGCAAGATTAAGTCTTGGGCTTTCTTAGACTCTTGTGAGTCTTCAGGTGGTGTCTTAGTAGTATGGAGTGAAGATTTCACACTCCTTTCTTCCTATGTGGGGATATTTTCTATCTCAATGCTTTTGCTCCATAGACCATCTGACTAGTCATTTCTTTTTCACCTTTGTTTATGCCCCATTGATAAAGAGGATAAGGAAGTTTGTTGGTGGGCATTAAAGAGGATTTGACTTATGTATAGGGATCCTTGGGTCCCGTGTGATGACTTCAATATCACCCTTAATATGAATTAGCGTAGTAGGAGGTTTGGTTCCTTCAGAGAGGTCATAGACTATCTTTAGCTACTTGACTTGCCTCTGCATGGTAGAAATTTCATATGGTCTAACTACAGGGAGAACCTTATTTTGGCTAAGTTAGATAGATTCCTTGTCTCCCAAGATCGGGACTCCAAATTCCCTACTTCAATCCAATGTTCAATCCCTATCTCCTATTCTGATCATATCCCTCTCATTTTCTATAATGGAGGTATTCCTCACCCACCTTCCTTGTTTAGATTTGAGAAGTTTTGGTTGTTCAACACAAATTTTATTCCTTTCATTCAACAATGCTGGTCCTCTTTCTCGTGCAATGATGATCCTATTTTCTCTTTTGTGCATAAACTAAAACTTGTTAATAGAAGAACGAAATGGTGAAAGAAGAATAAAGTCGATTCTTTGTCTAATAGAAAGATCTCTATCCTTAAAGAGATAGATTATCTTGATAAGTCTGAGGAGACAAGACCTCTAACTTCTATAGAGCTTGACAATAGGAAGGAAACGTTTCTATATTTTTGAGAACATTTCTAGCCTTAGCATTTATTACACCAAAACCTCCTTGATTTACTTTGGTAAATTCAGAGATAGAGGCAGCATGTTGGCTTCAACTCTATCTTGTAAGTAGGAGCACATACCGCTGACCTATTTGGGTTTACTATTAAGATGTGGCGAACTTAGCAGATATGATTGGCAACCTCTTATTTAGAAAATCAAAACAAAGCTCTCACAATGGAGATGTTCAAATCTATCAATTGGGGGCCGGCTCAATCTCGTTAATATAGTTTTATCATCTTTGCCTCTCTACTATATGTTCTTCTATAAGCTTCCTGATTTGCTAATTAAGACTACTGATAGAGTCTGAAAAAATTTCCTATGGGGAGGAACAATGGAAAACAAGCCTATGAAATGTTTGGTGAAGTGAAAATGGTATGCAAGCCCAAGAAAAAGGGAGAACTTTGTGTTATTGATCTTAGGTGCCTGAATAACTCTTTGCTCTCCAAATGGCTATAGTATGCCATTAAGAGACACTCTTTTGTTGGCTCTACTCTATTAGCTCTATACAAATGCAAATCAACCACTTTTCAAAACTCCACTCACAATTCAACTTTTTCACCTCTTTGGAATAGTATCATCGTTATCAGAGAACAACTTGTAAACTGCATCAAATGGAAATTGGGTGATGGCTCTATGATTAGGTTTTGGGAGGAAAAATAGGTTGGAGATAACACACTGGGTAGCCTCTTCACCATGCATACTCCCTGGCTATGTCTCAAAATGCCACTGTCTCCTAACAAGGATCCTTTTGTAATAACAACTAGGTTTGGCACCCCACTCGTAGGAGACCAATTCAGGATTACTAGAGACTTGACAAGCATAAGCTTATACTATTCCTCTCTGCCTTCAAGGTCTCTAATACATTGGGGATGGTTGATTTCCTGTCATGGTCTCTATCCATCTCAGGGAAATTAACAGTGAACTCTTTATACAAGTTCTTAGTAAGAGGAGGGGTTAACTCCTCCACCTCTATGCAAATCTGGAAACTAATCTTCCTCTAAAACATAAAATCTTTTTCTGGCTCTTGTCCCTGAACAAACTAAATACCCAAAGTGCATTTAAGCAGAAAAGGGTGGCAGGGGGATCTGGCTTGTTCTCTATGCCTAAATGAGTTGGAGGACTCAGAGCATCTATTCCTAAATTGTTAGCTATCAGAAAATGTTTGGGGCTTCTTCAGAACTAGATCTGCACACATTGAATGGTTGAATAACTTACATGACATCATTCACTGATACGAGTTTCCAAGCGAGCACCTTTGATCGCAGAATTATCAAAGGTGAGTTTTGAGAAGAAAACGGTAAAACACACAAAATATTCAATTGGCGTAGGAAAATACCTTCTCTAGATTATTAAGAATAAAAAATTATAAAATCTCTCTCTCACAATCTCTCTTAAATAAAGAACAACTTCTCTACCATCTTTAAACTCTAATCTGATATTTAGAAATCCTAAAGAATCCCTATTTATATGTCAAACAATGTGTATGGTAAAATTGTAAATAACCAAGCCCAACACAACTTAGAATTAGCGTCAAACAGAATCCAGATTAGCCCAAGAAACACGATCTGGTCGACTGGCATGCCTCTGCCGGTCGACCGGCCAGAGATAGGTTTTTCTGCCCTGTATTCGTGTTCGTTTTTGGTTGACCGACGATGGTCAATCGGTCGACCGACATAGACTCTACGGTTGACCGATGTCAACCCTTCGGTCGACCGACCAGAGCTACTTTGCCAACTTGCCATTTTTCCTGGTTTTGATCGTTTTTGCCCCTTTCGACGACTTCGCTCACACTTTTATTCTTAAGCTACTATGAGAATCATCTATACTCAAGCTCCCATGAGGATCGCTAAGTTCCTGAAGTAGAGAAGATACACTCGTATCATGGCTCCCCATTTAGGAACTTGAAGTCTCGTTCAAGTTAGAACTTTATCTAAGGAAACTCTCGAGCTCCCCCTTCTTTGTTGAACCACTTGGCTTTGCTAGGAACCTGACCTTGACGTCCAACTAGAAATGACTCCTTCATCCCCGTCTAGTCGTGGTCACCTTCCGCTCCAAAATACAATCTTCTTTCAGCACCTCTTCTCTATCAAGCCACAAGTCTTCAACATGTGGCAAGATCACCTTGTCGTCACCCTTATCGTCAAGCAATGGAGGCTCGAACAACTTCAAGTATTCGATATTGATCACCGAATACATGCGTAAGTAAGGTGGCAAATCCAGTTTGAAGGCGTTGTCACCGATCTGATCGAGAATCCGAAATGGACCATATCGTATAGGCTTCAACTTCTTTCCTTCTCCCTTTAGCCGACCCTTACCTAACTTCAACCACACCATGTCACGTTTGCCAAAATTACATGGAACTCGATGTTGATAATGTTTCGACTTGTACTTCGCTTGTGACTTCTTCAACTGTGCATCAACAACGGCGTGAATCTGCGCAATCTTCTCAAGAAATCACTAAG